ATTGATTAGTCAATTACTCGTTTCATTCTTTCATGCCATTTTTAATTACACTAGAATGCATCAAGAACCACATTCACTGTAAAATATTCAAACTATCATTATATCATATCATACTCATCATTTATACAAAAAAGAGCTCTACTCCGTAACTCTATATATGCCGCTTTAATATGGAAGTTAGCAAAATTATTCTTCTAAACTGATGTGTTATGCCTTGTTGGCTGACATGGAGATCATAATATCAACGCCTATAATAAGGAACAAGTTTTTAGTAATCATTCCTTCATTCATAAACAACTCTATGTATTTTTTTTCATATCAAGTAATTTATGTATTATATTAGAATCCTACTACTATATCATAAATAAAATATAAGTGATCGAAAAAGAAAAACTATCAATTTTATTATTTAAAATTTATCGTACATTATTTTTTACATACACAAATACATATATGCATAATAAATTATATGAAGTGCGAAATTAATATACATAAACAGGAAATAAAATAAATACAAGCATCACATGAATAAAAAGTTCATTAAAATCATTCTTTGAAAAGAGGGAGGATTGAAGAATTGAATTCCAGATAATAGGTTACTTGAAATCATAATAACTAATCAACTCTCTTCAAATCCTAATATGTCTCAGAGCAAATAATAAATTTATTAACAACAAAGTTGTTGTAGTATAGTGCTGAGTATTCCACCTATCACGTGGGTGACCTCAGTTTGATCCTTGGCAACAATGTCAATTTTAATTTTCCCATTTCTCATTTAAGTGGAAGTGGAAAGATAATGCATTAAAAACTAAAAATGAAATAACAATGGAGTCACCTGGACTTGAACTGAAAACCTTCAATGTGTTAGACTGACATGAGAACCAACTACACCATGACACCATGTAGCAATACAAAACGATACCATTATATGGAATTGTTAAACATAGTATGAGAGGGAAGAAGCAGAGTATGAAAGTGAGCATCTCAGCTTTTGATGATACCCAAATACAAATCACCAAAAATCTTATGACTGCAATTTATAAACCGACAATAAGAAATACAATCACTAACCCAAAATATGTATGTAGCGTTTTTTCCCCCTATAGTTGCATTTTAAAGCGCAACTAAAAACACTCCCGACGCAAAAAAACCACAAAAATGCCGCTAATACAAACGCTGCAACTATTAGCGACATTTTTTGTTTAAAAACACCACAAAAGGTCAGGTTATTTAGTAACCTTATATTTAAAACACCGCTAAATGTCATGATATATAACGACGTTTTTTCTCTACAAACGTCGCAATAGGTTTGGTTATATAACGGCATTTTAGTCACAAACGTCACAATAGGTTTGGGTTATTTAGTGGCGTTTTAGGCAAAAACGTCGCTAAATGTTTTGATACATAGTGACGGATTTTTTTGTAAACACCACACTAGGTTTGGATATATACTGGCGTTTTTTATGCAAACGCAACCAAATATGTACTCAATTAGTGGCGTTTCCCTCCTAAAACACTTCTAATCAAAACTGATTTTCAAAATCTTTTTTACTACCTTGTATTACCCAAATTTAATCTGTAACAATATCAAATAACAACCTTAAATTTAAGGGTAAAGTATAATAATGGTCACTGAACTTTTCTAAAGCTTTCATTTAGGTCCCCCAACTTTTAAAACTTGAAATACAATCCTCCAACATTTAGTTCGTTTGCAATATGGTCCCCACCGTTACACTACCATTAGTATGTTTGCAATATGGTCACTGAACTTTTCAGATGCATGCATTTAGGTCCCTTAACTTTTAAAACTTGCAACATAGTCCTCAATTTCATTATAAACCCCAAATTCCTTTTCGATCTCGAATTTCCTTTTTCGTTTCTCTCTTCTCATTTCCAGTGTAACTTTTCAGTCAGGGATGCATGGGAAATTCTAATCTAACTTTGAATCATGTGGAGGTGTTGACTTGAATAAGGGTTCATTGAGAGAAGACCCAACCAAGGGATTATCTAGACCATCAACGATTCAAGGTGTAATGTTAGATACATGTCATCTCAGGTGAAGCATAGATGTTCGATGAAATGCTTGTGAGAAAAAAATGGGGTTAAAATGCATAGTTGACAAATACTACTAAGATGAACTAAGTATCATTGTCAAAAGTCACCAACAAAGCTGGAATTATTTTGTATAAATGGCATATAATAATTTCTTCGTTTGATCCTTGTGGATATAGATTTTCCAATAGATGATCAAATATAATGAAATCCCAAACAACGCATTCACCTCTCAGTATCTTTCTCTCACATGCACTCTCGTTTGGTTTTTGTTATTCAATTTTCTGTCATGTAATATTGTAAACCCAAGCAGTGCTCTGTCTTTCAGTTTTTATTTACAAAGAAAAAATGGAGGAAGAATTGTTGGAATGCAACACTGATTGCGTTTAATTTCTCAGCATCTCCCCTCACTTGCAAGAAGGTATTTATTTTTTCTTTTGGGCTATCCGGAAGAAAGCTTTTCATCTTTCATACTTTCCCATTTTCAGCTTGCATTGTGTGTTTTTTGTTGAAATTTTTATTCTTCTGAAACTGCATGTCAATGATCTGGATATTCAATGTTAGTTTTGAACCAAAACCATCTAATTTTATTTCTTTCTTCTTAATCAAACTTTTAGTACTCCTTATGAAATATATTCAGTCCATCAGAATAGAAGTGAAAGAGTGTCCTAGGCTAAAAAAATTTTATCTTCTTGTTTGGTTTTTCTTTAAATAAGGGAATTGGTTGTGAGTATCGACATAGTGAAATCACCAAGCTCAATCCGAGAAACTGCTGGTACTAGTTTACTGGGAATTGTATTGATCCGATGTATGGTTTTCGGCGTCCTGTGAGCTCGCATTCTTTTTAAGAAGTTCATGTTGATTATGGGACTGATATATCATGAACGAATTGAATTTTTTACATGTTTTGGAAATTTTATAGTTGAATCGTATTGAGTTATAGCTTTAGAAGACAATTATGCATGCACACAACTCGAAAGGCATCATGACATGGTAGTATATTTGGAGCAGCTACTTGACCCTATCATGATGCCTTTGGAGTTGCGAAAGAGACTGAGAGGTGAATGCGCTGTTTGGGATTTCATTATATTTGATCATTTGTTGGAAAATTATTATATGCCATTTATACAAAATAATTTCAGCTTTGTTAGTGACTTTAAAAAATGATAGTTCATCTTAGTAGTATTTGTCAACTCTGTATTTATAACCCCATTTTTTCTCACAAGCATTTCATCGAACATCTATGCTTCACCTGAGATGACCTATACCTAACATTACACCTTTAATCGTTGATGGTCTCGATAGTCCCTTGGTCGAGTCTTCTCTCAATGGACCCTTATTCAAGTCAACACCTCCACGTAATTCAAAGTTAGATTAGAATTTCCCATGCATCACAAACTGAAAAAATTACGCTGGAAATGAGAAGAGAGAAGAGAAAAAGAAAATTCAAGATTGAAAAGAAATTTGGGGTTTAGAATAAAATTAAAGACTGTGTTGCAAGTTTTAAAAGTTGGGGGACCTAAATACAAATGCCTGAAAAGTTCAGTGACCATATTGTAAGCGTACTAACGACAGGGACCATATTGCAAACAGACTAAATGTTGGAGAACTGTATTGCAAGTTTTAAAAGTTGGGGACCTAAATGAAAGCTTTAGAAAAGTTTAGTAACCATTACTATACTTTACCCTAAATTTAATTACGACTCAAATTAAGAAACAATATATAAAAACAGAAATAAATCAAAGTTTACAAACATCCAAGTAAAATGTAATGTAGTTCAACATTTTTCACTAATATAAACAAAGCATTAACCTAATAAATCACCTAGGATGATGAATTCTTCGTTTGATTGTGCTGCATCATCTATTTTATAGCTTCAATTTGATTTTGAAGTTCTTCATATTTTTCTTGAAATGTTGCTTCTCTCGCTGCTCTCTCTGTTTCTCTTGTTGCTCTCTCTGCTTCTCTCGCTTCAACTTCGGCTTTCATTTGAGCAATTTTTTCATCCACTTGACATCAAAGTTACAAAGATGCAAGACATAACACATTTAGTTTCTACATTTTCCTTCTTTTCCTTTTTCAACTTTGCAATCCCCAACTAAAATAAAGAATAGTCGGCTCTCTACTTTTCATGCAAGCGTACAGACAAAGATGTAAATTACATTAATAATATGTGCATATATACCCAGAGAGATGACAGGAATATAGATTAACACACTACTCCAAGACCCAAAGTTCAAGTCTTCCATAAATTAATAATTGCTCCAAATTTCACCAAATAGCAATACTAAATTTCCTATATATCATTTCACATAACCAAAATACCATATTTGTCTTGAAAATGTGTAATTGTCTCAATATGTAATAGCAAGTCCACTACACCCAAAATTTCAATATGAATATTCATATACACTCTTTTTGCATCAAATATGCTATTGCTGAAAAACGGAATATAAGCCGGACAGTAGTTACCTTGTAACAGACTTGAGGATGATGGAGGTGAAAATATAGGATGAATCTTTGGACAGCAAAAACATTTTTCTTTATATACCATCATAAAATCCACCATAAAGTTTCATGCCATGTTGAAATTACGAAATCCGGATAGAAAATACTGGCTCAAAGTGTTGTCACCTTCTATTGCCGTGAAAGTAGGTAGGAAATGTTGCAGACCTTACTCATACTGCGATCTGTGTGGCCTTTGCTATTGATTAGCTTATTGAAATGAAACATTAGACTAGTACAGGATTAGGGTACGGAAGCTAATTATAATGTAACCTAATTATTCATTTCAACAAGAGAAACTATGGCTACAGAAGCTGAACGTAAATCAAAAGGGAGAGAGATATAATTTTATTATGTACATGGTATTCATATATCCTAGTAGGGAATAGTATAATATATGCAGAAAGTAATTAAGTAAACGATGAACTATAGTTGAATAGAACATAACACAATCTTCAAATTAGATTAACAAAAGAAGAAATATCAATCATTTTCAGTGCACTTCTTAAGAGTTCATAAAGTTGTACACAACCTTTCAAACCATGTGCAAGCTCTCCAACTCAGGAAGTGTCTTTGTTTGTATCTACCCCTGTTCCAACACACCCAACTTAGCAAATCATCATGCATGCACAGTTAGTCTAACTCACTTGTTACTAAAATTTAATCTCCATTAAGTTGTCTAGGCTTTTCGTTTGTTCTTTTGATTGAGACCTTGTTTTTACTAATCTCTTTCAGAATAGCATCATTTCACACACACACATATTATGAGGAGCTTATTTAGATGATATTGGATACTAGACCTTGAGTTTAAGCCGTTGAGGCACCGCAAAATTTAATTTCTACTCTATCACATACACATATTTCTCACTATTTCCACTTTCCCACTTGCTTAATTCAGAAGCCCCCTTTTTGCATTTCAGTTTCTCATTGTTTTATTTAAGAAAACTAAGCCATATACACTAAGAACTATAATAATTGCGCATATATAAATCTAACCAACAAAGAACATACAAGTGTTTTCAAATTGGTATCTTTAGAATGACAAGTGATTTGGAGATGAATATTATGGTGCCATGAGGTAAGACAGCACAAACAAACAACGTTTCTTAGTTAATTAACCATAGAGTTCTAGAAAAAAAAGGTTGATTAGGGAAACAAATTTACAAACATTTTGGAGATTATCAAACTCCTGGATTTGCATTACAAAGTACCCTAAGACAACGACCTCGAGCACATTGAATCGTTTCCTACACACGAGGTGAGCCGAGTTGAAGACACCGCTGAGTGGAGAGGCAGCAGAGATTGAAGACAACCCAATTGAGAAACGGGCCTGAAAAGTTCAAAAACACAAAAAAATTTGGTGAATTTGAAGGAAACCCAATTTTTTTAATATAAAAAATGATAAAATTACAGGAGTTGAAAATGCGGTTTTTAAAGGGTTTACCTTGAAAATGTGGGAGACGAGGGATGAACAGGAAAGAGATGAGAGGCAGGACTAGGTTTAAGGTTTGGCTTGTTTATAGTTGATTCCAGGCTAGAGAATGTTGGCTTTGAGACAGATCTAAAGCGCGACGCCATGACTGAGAATACGCAAGTGTTGAAAGTTAGGACGATGTTTTTATAGTGGACAAAAGGGTTCTTAGGTATTTGATGGTGAAAGTAGGAGAAAACAACGTTCGGGTGTAGGGCGAGGATTTTGCGAGTTGAAGAACGTGAAGCAGATGGGGGGTGCTGTCCGACAACTAGAGTTGGAGAAAACAACAGATGGGTGCTGCTGTCCGACAGTGAAGCAGCGAACCAGCAGATTTGAAGAAAGGAATTTACGAGCTCGGAGAAGCAGCCAAAGAAGGAGTGAGATCGGCAGAAATAAATTTGTGGGTTTAGGGTAAACGGCAGAAAGAAAAGAAAATTAAAATGGGCTAAAAGACGATAGAAGGCATAAATTTTGTGGCGTCTGTAAATAAAAACGCCACCATGTGCATCGTATTGGGGCGTTCATTTAAAATTCCATTGGAGTACGACTTTATAGCCACCTTTATTTTAAAACGCCACTAATATATAAGTATATAGCGGCATTTATTAAAATATGTCACTAAAATACGAGTCTGTAACGACGTTTGTTATAAAAACGCCCCTAAAGTAAGTGCCTGTGGCGGCATTTGTTTAAAAACACCAATAATGTTATCATTTTGTGGCGTTTTGGCTGTTAACGCCACGATATGTATAAAAAGTTAGTGACATTTACTTTTAAAACGCCACTATAAACGCTGATACATACCTATTTTATTGTAGTGAGTTGGACTTGCAAAATACATAGAACTGATGGAGAATCTTGTTAAGGAAAGAAGAGATTGTGCTTTCTTAGCAATCTCAACATAATACAGATGACTATCAAGTAATAAACGCATACCTCATATCATATCCATTAATATAATTCAAAACTGTAGGTGCATTTGCGTAAAATTTTACTACAACGAACAAGAGAATTATTTCAATGATTAAAATAACTTTTAAGACACTTGTATTGTGTTAGAAGCTTAATACTATATCATTAATAAAATATAAGTGATCGAAAGAGAAAAACTATCAATTTTATCATTTAAAATACATCGTATAATATTTTTACATAGATATATGAATATATGCAACATAAGTTATGTGAAGTACAAAAATAATATAGATAAATAGAAAATAAAACAAATACAAGTATCACATGAATAAAAAGTTCATTAAAATCAATCTTTGGCTTGCGAAAGAATTGAAGAATTGAATTTCAAATAATAGGCAACTTGAAATCATAATCACTAAACAACTCTCTTAAAATACTAATATGTCTTAGAGCAAATAATAAATCTATTAACAACAAAGTCATTGTAGGATGGTGGTGAATATTCCTACTTATAACGTAGCAATTTATAAACCAATAATAAGAAAAATACATTTCGACTTCTAAAATATATAAAATTGATGAATTCTTGTTCTGAAATTATATTTACCTTTCTTTATAAGCAGAAAAGAAGAGATTGTGCCTTCTTAGTAATCTTGACATAATATATAGATAATCATCAAGTAAGAAACACATATATCCTATCACAGCCATTAATATAATCTAAAAATCTAGGTTTCTTTAACTAGAATTTCACTACAACAAAGTCGAAAATCATTAGAATTATTAAAATAACTTTTAAAATACTTGTATTGTATTAGAAAACCTACTACAATATCATAAATAAAATATAAGTGATCTAAAGAGAAAAAACTATCAATTTTAGCATTTTAAATTTATCGTACATTATTTTTTTATACACAAATCAATATATGCATCATAAATTATATGAAGTGCAAATATATTATACATAAATAGAAAATAAAACAAATACAAGAACCACATGATTAAAAGTTTTTAAAACCAATCTTTTAAAAGTGAAAGAATTGAAGAATTCAATTCTAGATAACAAGCAACTTGAAATGATAATCATTAAACAACTCCCTACAAATACTAATGTCTTAGAGAAAATAATAAATAAATAAACAAAAAGTCATTGTAGTATAGTAGTGAGTATTGCTACGTATCATGCTGGTGACCTGGGTTTGATCCTCAACAATGGTGTTAGTTTTAATTTTTCCACTTTTCATTTTATTGGAAAGAAAAGGCAATAAAAACTAAAAATGAAATAACAATGGCGTCTCCCAGATATGAATAAGAGATCTTCATTAGGTTAGATTGACGTGATAACCAAGTACCCATGACACTATAAACCAACAATCCGAAATATAATTGGACTTGCAAAATACATCGAATTGATGGAGATTCTTTTTCTGGAATTATCTTTTTCTGAAATTATATTAACTTTATAAGAAGGAAAGAAGAGATTGTGCTTTCTTAGTAATCTCAACATAAGACAGATGACCATCAAGTAATAAACGCATACGTCATATCACATCCATTAAAATAATCTAAAATTGTAGGTGCCTTTACGTGAATTTCACTACAATGAACAAGAAAATTATTTGAATGATTAAAGTAACTTTTAAGACACTTGTATTGTATTGGAAGCCTATTACTATATCATAAATAAAATATAAGTGATCGAAAGAGAAAATCCATAAATTGTATCATTTAAAAATTTTCTTACATAATTTTTTACATACAGAAATCAATATATGCATCATAAATTATATGAAGTACAAAAATAATATACATGAGTAGAAAGTAAAATAAACGCAGGCATCACATTAATAAAAAGTTCATTAAAATTAATCTTTGACATGAGAAAGAATTGAAGAATTGAATTTCAGATAATAGGCAACTTGAAATCATAACCGCTAAACAACTCTCTTCAAATACTAATATGTCTTGGAGCGAATAATAAATCTATTAACAACAAAGTTATTGTAGTATAGTAGTTTGTTATCCTACTTGTCAAGATGGTGATTAGGGATCGATCCCCGGCAATGACGTTAGTTTTAAATTTTCTAATTCTCAATTAAATGGAAAGAAAAGCAGTAAAAACAAAAAATGAAATAACAATGGAGTCACCTAAGCTTGATCTAGAGACCTTTCCCACCGATCTCGTGGGTAAGGCATTAAAAACTAAAAATGAAATAACATTGGCATCGCTCGGACTTGAATCAGATACCTTTAATGTATTAGACTGATGTGATAACCAACTACAAAACGATACCATTATATTGAATTGTTAAGCATCGTTTGAGAGGGAGGAAGCAGTGGATGAAATTGAGCACCTCAGCTTTTTATGATATCATAATACAAATAAGTCTTCCACGGAAGCTACTCTCAACCTGGCGTTGGGGGTAGCCTACTACCCTACCTCCCCCTTACCCCATACATATGGGAATTGGGTTTTGTTGTTGTTGTTGTTGTTGTAATACAAATAAAAAAAAATCCTATGACTGCATTTTATAAACCAACTTTTATGATATCCTAATACAAATCACCAAAAATCCTATGACTGCATTTTATAAACCAACTGTCGGGACGATAGCTTAAGTTTTTTTAGGGCTTGGCGGGAGCAATCCAAGTTAATTTGGAAAAGATCGAGTTTGGAAAAATAAATAAATTTGGAGTCGCCATCGACCTTTGAGTCAGGTAGGTCACACACCTAAAAATATATTTAAAAACAATTTTAGGAAAAATAATTTTAAAAGATAAAAAATAATTTTCATTTAACCAAAAACTCATTTTGAAAAGGGTTAAGGAGTCAATTATGCCTGAGGAATGATGAACACCCCCACAACACCCAAAATTAGCACCTAAATGATTATACGTCATCTAAATAACAAAAATTGCAAATTCAAATATGCATTTAAATTATGAACCTTATAGAAAAAATTATAAGGATATACTTTTGTATAAACAATCCTCGAAAACACATTTCTTGTAAGTCAAGACGTGTTTCCATAGATTCCCCTTACAAAAGATCACTTCCTTAATTTTTAGCAAATTATATATACTAATTTAAAAATTATTCGAATATAAAAATACTATTTGTACGAACAATCATTGAAAACAAACTTCTTATTAGTCAAGAGGTGTTTCCATAGATTCCCCCTAAAAAATAATATTACATTATATTTTTATATTAATATATATAACGAAACACAACAAAATAATATTTAATATTAAAAACATATAAATAATATGAACAAAAATATATAATATATAAATAGCATAGATAAAGAAAACAATGTAGCTATATGTATACGTGTAATATAATATATACATGAAATAATACGAATAGGCCACAAAAACTACTTTAAGCCATAGCAAACAGTTATATAATATAGTGTATATACACGCATATGTAAATTATAATAGACTAAAATGAAGATACACAAATATGGCACGCCAGAATCAGTGACTAAATTAAAAAAGGTAGTAACTTTAAAGGTTAAACAACAAAACCAACAATAACCATTACAACAAATGCCAAAATCATATGATCTAGGCACAGGAAACGCAACAAAACCATAAATACTAGGGAGGACTAAAATAAAAGTATTTACAATAAAGCATCAAATGTAAAAATATATAAGACAGAAGTAAATCAACATCAGTGACTAAAATGTAAAGCATGAAAACAAAAGGACAAACATAAAATATAACATAAAGTAAGGACATAAATTTAAAGTGCTAAAATTTAAAGATAAGAAAAAAGTTTGAAAGGGCATGTGAATAACATAAATTAAAAGAATCGAATACAATTAAAAGTTAGCAGTTAATTTTGATCGGAACTACCCGAGGACTCCAGTGGCAGCTGCGGTGTAGTGCAAGTCGATTGGTCGACCAGAAAACAAAAAAATAGTGACAATTGGCGACCATTTTTTTACTACAACGTAAATTTAAGGCACTCACCACGGAAAACGAGGGTGTTTCTTGACGATTGGACAGCTGGACTTTGGTCGTGGGTTTACGGCGGTCACGTGCATAACAGTGGTATATACCACGAACTGTTGGTGGCTGCTAGGCAATGAAAATTGTCGGTAGAGTTGAAATGTTTAAGGATTATTTTGATTTGGGGTATTTGTGTAACCACTTCATACCGATGTCGGTGACCCGATCTGATCTGTGGTGTCACATTAGAGACACCGGAGCGACCCAACGTCTAAATCTCAAAAAAATATAATTTTTTATTAA